AACAGCTTTGCAGTCTGGCGCATTAACCCACAGCACCACACCAGTGTACATAATTTGATGCTCTGTGAGGCCCAATCTTTGAATGCATTCACACACAAGAACCAGAAGTCTGACTATAAAAGCAATTCAGAATTTCGGAGTCTCCAGTAACTTCCTCTAACAGCTGGTCAAAGGAGTGAATGGACTCTAACTCCTGGCAGAGAAAGGCTGTCATACGTCCTCCCTCTCTACTACATACACAACTGGTGGAGGGTAAGCAAAGGTCCTGCAGCCTCCAGCTGAGCAGACGAAGGTCTGGAGTAACAGGGCGACTCAGCCAACCCAGAAAGGTCTATTGTGGCAGGACCACTCACACTTTGTAGGGCAGCCGCGGATCCGACGTCAGCGTGATCTTGAAGGAAACCTTCGACCTGCGGAAGAGAGGGACAGAGTTAGGACCGAACAGCAGGTCCCCGAATGGGGCAGCTGGCAAGTAACACACATACATCGTGCAACGTTCGGGTTAGAGGCCGCAAAACTACGCCGCAGAGTACCACCACTTCCTCCGCCCCTGACAACGCGGCTTTCTAACAAATTGAGGACCCCCGGAGTTGCTGTTGTTCAAGATAGTGCCTGAAAATTGCCTGTAGATGTTTATGTTAAGTGGAGAATTCAAGTTACAACTAACTAATAATTTTATATTTATACCTTAAAGAGAAAAGTTGGGACCATAAGAAAAAATATTTCTCCAAGTATATTTATTTACCGCAACATATTTAATCAGGCAGTGGAAGCATAAGCACAGACAAGAGGCCTCTAAGCCCCAGCTAGCTGGTTAGGGCGGAAGTAAGCAAACCAAATGCGGGCGGAAGAGTGAATTTGGGCGTAAATAAGACTGAGGACTGGGAGGCGTGGAGGGCGAGGGAGGGGCGGGGTCGTAAGCAGACAAATTCCCAAATTGGAAGAGACAGCTGATTGATTTCCTAGAAGTTGTCATCTTAATCCGCTTTGTTATTCGTATTTTGCCTTTTTAATTAGCCAGTTCAACTATTCAGATAGTTTTCCTTCACTTTATACTCTCCAATATTTATTTCTGACAATTTAATTTTTAACAGATATCAGAATTAGCATCACAGTAATATAAAAGGGAGAACACTACAAGTATTAGATGTATGATGGGGGTTGGTGAGTTAAACAAAGCGCTGTTCCTTGAGGCATTTGACATCTAGTTGGGAAGATGAGCCCAGAAACAGGGCATTTCAAGTGTTTTATACGATCTAATAAGATTAAGCACAGGGTGCCAGGTTGCTTTTTATCAAAAACATTTATTTAAATTAGCAACAAACTTAGGAATATTTCTATGTGCTAGGCTCTAAGAAAAATGCTAGGATCTCAAGACGAGTTAAAAAGAATAGATGCAACCCTTTAGAATCAAACAGCCAGAAGTTCTGCTTCCTTGTGAGGAGACTTGACCAAATGTCCTCGATCCCAAATCTAAGCATCTGTATTTTAAAAAGAAACATCTTTCTCACAGTGACTACAGTGCCCTTCTGCAGACCTCTGGAATTAATTGTTGTTGTTGTTAGGTGCCATCAAGTCTCATAGCGACCTTATGCATAGCAGAACGAAACATTGCCGG